AAATAATGAGAAGAAATTTTGTAATGAATAGCAGTAACTTTCCAACTCAATATCCCTAGTTTCAAGTCTTCTGGTGAATACTGATACAAAAAATGTAATCTAGCTTGTATACTGTTGATTTACCCCACAACAGAATATATCTTTGTTTCTAAATATATGGACTTAGATTGTTTACTTTTTCTTATGCTACCCTTCTCAAGTATTTGAAAGTTATATTAATTTTTAAAAACTTTTATAGATTACTTTCAAATATTTATTTTTAAGGATTTACCTATTTATTTGAAAGGCAGAGCTAGAAGAAATGATTTAAATATTTTCACCAAAAGAAACTTTGGTGACATTGTTGTTTACACTAAACTAAAAATCACACAAAGTGTATACATGTTTGGATGCATTACATGGTACCCCATAAATATGCATAAATTTTTTTAAAGATTTTTTTTTTCAAAGACAGAGTTTCAGAGAGAGGTAGAGGCAGAGAGAGAGGTCTTCCATCCACTGGTTCACTACCCAGATGGCCGCAAGGGCCGGAGCTGCACTGATCCGAAGGCAGGAACCAGGAGCTTCTTCCAGGTCTCCCATGCAGGTGCAGGGGCCTGAGGACTTGGGCCATCTTCTACTGCTTTCCCAGGCCATAGCAGAGAGCTGGATCGTTAGAGGAGCAGCCGGGACTAGAACTGGAGCCCATATGGGATGCCGATGCCTTAGGCCAGGGCTTTAACCCTCTGTGCCACAGCTCTGGTCCCATATGCATGGCTTTTAAGTATCAGTCAAAACAAAAATCACAAATCTCACTGTTCTTTCCAAGATTCTGCATTTTGGGGGCTGGCACCATGGCGTTGCAGGTAAACCTGCCACCTGCGGTGCTGGGAGCATATGTGGGCACCAGCTTGAGTCTTGGCTGCTCCTCTTCTGATCCAGCTCCCTGCTATGGCCTGAAAAAGTGGAAGTTGATCCAGGTCCCTTGCCCCCTGCACCCTCCTGGGGGACCTGGAGGAAGCTCCTGGCTCCTGGCTCCTGGCCTTGGATCAGCTCAGCTCCAGCAGTTGCAGCCATTTGGAGAGTGAACCAGCCGATGAAAGATCTCTCTCTCTCTCTCTCTCTCTGCCTCTGCCTCTCTATAACTCTGCCTTTCAAATAAATAAATAAATCTTTTTTAAAAAGTTGGGCTTTTTTTTTCAAAGTAAAGGCTCCTTGGATATTTTGTAAGCCTAATTATGTTGCAGAGATCTTAAATAGTTAATTTTGAAAAATGTTATTTCAATGTTGTGTTGCTTTTCTGAAAGCACAGATTTTTCAGGGTATTTACTCCATTGTTCTGGAAGTCCTACCGATAAGGCATTGTTACTTTAAAAATCTTTTATAGTTTGACTATTACATTCATTGTGACTACTACCAAGGGACTTCAAAAAGTTCATGAAAAATGAAGATTCTGAAAAATCTACTTTTCAATTCCATTTTCCATGAACATTTTAAAGTTTCCTCATATTTCTCTGCAATAAACTATTTTGAAATTTGGTGAATTAAAACACACAGATACACTCAAGAAACCATTTTATTATGCTCGAGTATGACGTGAAACAAAATGAAATTCACACAAAATGTAATGGGGAAGGAGTTGCCTATTTTCTTCTATGTTTGCAACCTGACTTTGGAGAATATGAATTCAACTGGTTATCTTCTTCTTACCTTACGTTGTGGGTTCTAGATTTTCTTCACATAAGTTAAATGTGATTCCTTGGAATTTGAGGTATTTTATTCTTTAAATTTCTTGGATAATTTTATCACATTGCTTTAGGTAATCTATATTGGAAATATACTTTTATTTCCTGAACTTCAAACACAAACACACACACACACACACACACAGCAGAAATATCCAAATTTAACATGCATAATTGTTTCTTTTCAAATCTAATATTATTTTATATTTCCTAATGAATGATCACATTGTTAGGCAAATTATTCAAGTAAAATAACGCTATCCCACAAATTCACTGAATTTGATTTCCTCTAAGTCAGAAATCTGCCTTAAATTGTTATGTTGTCTAGATCAGTATAATATTGTGTAAATAAGAAACACATTTAGGCCGGCGCCGCAGCTCACTAGGCTAATCCTCTGCCTTGCGGCACTGGCACACCGGGTTCTAGTCCCGGTCGGGGCACCGGATTCTGTCCCGGTTGCCCCTCTTCCAGGTCAGCTCTCTGCTGTGGCCAGGGAGTGCAGTGGAGGAAGGCCCAAATCCTTGGGCCCTGCACCCCATGGGAGACCAGGAAAAGCACCTGGCTCCTGCCATCGGATCAGCGCGGTACGCCTGCTGCAGCGCGCTGGCCACAGCGGCCATTGGAGGGTGAACCAACGGCAAAGGAAGACCTTTCTCTCTGTCTCTCTCTCTCACTGTCCACTCTGCCTGTCAAAAAATAAAAAAAAAAATAAAAATAAAAAAAAGAATCACATTTAGTTGTTACATTTAAATTCTGAGTTAAGTTTTTACTGATGCTTTGTAATGTATAAAAGCATATATGTTAAAATTAATTCACCATTATAGTAGAAATTAATGTGGAATGTGGAAACCTGAAAATATGAGTTCATTGAAGAGAGGGAAAAGGACAGAAGCATTCAATTTTGAATTATAAAATGATAGAATTTAAGTAAGATTCTTGAGAGAGTAGATCCTTGGATTGGCAACCTCTGTTCATGATTTAGTATAATAGCTCTGGGTGAGAAATTAAAAGTAACTTTTCTTTATATGTTTGAGTATTTCTGAATTGCTCCAAATTTGATATTATTTTAGATTAAGGAAAAATAGACCCTTAAATTGTTTTTACATTGCTTTAATTCTGTTCATAAAACAACATCATGTTATGAAGAGAAAATATATCGATCATGAACCCATCACTTCAAAATAATAATTCTTGGGGCTGGCATTGTGGTGTAGTATGTGAAGCTCAACCTGTGATGCTGGCATCCCATATGGGTGCCAGTTCGTGTCCTTTCTGCTCCACTTCAGATCCAGCTCCCTGCTAATGGCCTGAGAAAAACAGCAGAACTGGTCCAAGTGTTTCAGCCCCCACCATCCTCAAGGGTGACCTGTGTCGCTCCCCCTCTTCATGGAGGAACGACACTAAGTCCTGCCTAGGCTTCATATCCGAGTCACGGCACCATTATGTCGCTCCCCCTCTTCGTGGAGGAGCAACACAGGACCCTGCGCTGTTCTTTCGTCTGCTCGGCCCTCCCCGGGTTTGCTGCTGGTTCTTCCCGGGTTGGCTACTATCCCTTCCACCTCCGTGGAAGGGCAGTTCCCCCTGGCCGCATTCCCCACTTCCGCAGGGGAGCGGCACACCACCGGCCGGCTCTTCTCGGGGGCTGCACGGGTTCCCTTCAGCTAGATGTTCCCCATAGATGTTCCTGGTGCATGCCGTCTCTCTCCTCCTTTATAGTCCTCCTCCGCCAATCCCAACTCGGCTGCCCACACGCCGAGTACGCTGCTCTCCAATCAGGAGCAAGTCCTACAGTTAATTGGTTGAACTGGAGGCAGCTGTGCGGAAGCTGTTTACTTCTCTCCCAGCGCCATATTGTGGGAGAGCAGATGCATAGAATAAGTCTTAATTCCAGTAACAGTATAGTCCGAATTGCTCCCCACAGACCTGGATGGAGCTCTTGCCTTTGGCCTGACCCAGCCCTGGAAATTGTGGTCACTGGGGAGTACAGCAGCAGATGAAAGATCTCTCTCTGTCTCTCTGTCCCTCCCCCTCTCTCTGTATCTCTGACTTTCACATTAAAAAATAATTTTTTTTAAATTAGTAATTACTCTTAAGTTTCAGTATATTTCCTCTTCCTATTTTCTTGGTGTATTTTTACATAGGTGAGACCTTAATATTTTTCATTTTACTTCCTTCTGAGTTTTGTTGCTTATTCTTTATTGTATTTTTTATTAATGTTGTCTTATTATATGATTAAGATATGTATCTACTTTGTGTCCAAGAAAAACACATTTATATTAAACAATGGAAAGGTAGCATAAGCCATGACTATTGATAACCAAAGATAATATGAAAATTAGTAAGCTTCTCCACAAAGCAAACAAATAGATCACAAATGAAGTGAAACATTAAAGATGGTTGTACTTTTTCACATTGGTGGAGAAAATCTTCAGGCAGCTTAGAGAAGAGGCTACTGTACTTGAAGAATTGAGCTTGTTCTTGACTATGTGTCAGCAGTTAAATAGAAAATTGTGCTGTCTGCTTTTCTCTTTGATTTTGCCTATTCTGCAAGCTCAATTCTTCACTGTAAAACTTGATTGTGGGGAGCGGGATTTAAAGTTACAGGCCTAAGCCTCCTCCCCCAAAACTGAAACTATGTGCAGCTATAAAGATAAAAAAAAAAAAAAAAAAAAAAAAGAAAAAGAAACAAACTTTGTAACCTCTGCCTCACCCGCTGTTTGCGCAAAGCCCCTCCCTACCCCTTTCCTGTATCTTGCCTCCCCCAACCAGTTCCCTGTCCCCGAGTTCCCAGATAAGCCACAAACCTTCCCGTAATCTTGTGGAGGACCCTGCAGTTTGGCACGTACACCCCAGCAGCTCAGACCCTATGCTTCGGCCAATCAATTCAAAGGGCATCAACCCCAAAGCCATCCCATTTTGGGAGATATCCTTTGAATTTCCCATGTGATGAGATGATTTGCTGAATAGTACCATGATGTGTGGAGTGCCTCTGAAAATTGTATAAAAACCCTGACCCTCGACTTCCCGGGGCTGCTCTGTTCCTGTGTGTCAGAGAGCCCCAGCATGCTGGATCAATAAACCCCCTGCTGATTGCATGAGAGTGTCTCTTGGAGTCGTTCCTTGGGTGGCAGATGCTTCTCTACCCTAACATACTTTCTTCTTTATTTTCCTCACATTAACTTTACAGTGTACTCAGTCATGGAATCATTGCACAACCCAGAAGGCTAGAGGACACTCACTTGAAAACAGATTGATAGAAAGTAAAAATTCGCTTTTATTGACATGCCTTTAGTAAAAGAAAGATGGACTTCGGTTTTTACAACTTTCTCAGAGTCATTATAATTCTAATAAGCAATCTTCCCGAATTGAGCATACATTTATTTGAATATGGTAAAATAACAGATAACTATGATGGAAGATTAGTAATATTATGATCCCAGAGAGTCAAACATAATGTTACAGTATACTGTTAAATATTTGAATGAGAATTTGCATTTTTATGAGTTGTTGTACTGATCGTTGTGACTTCCTGTGGTCTTATGTACTCCCGTACCACACAGCAGGGCTCAGTATCACAGTGATTATAAACGTATTCCCAGGTGTTGCATTTAGTCTTGCAAGAACCACGAACAAGGTAACATTCTCGTTTTCTCACTAGAGCTTCTCTTATTTTTTTCTGTGGATCTGAGAAAAAATAACTATGATTATAAATCCAGGTTGATACTAAGAGATAGAAAGATAATTACATAGATAGAGCTTTCAACATATAGAGTTTAAACATTTTGTTCCTGAAGTCCTGCCCAGACATATCGATTGAAGATCTTTTCACCTGTAAGTTGGTCCAATACATATAACATTTATCTAGCAGTATTTCCATTGCCATTATCATTTTGAGGTTTTTGTGGTTTTTGGTAAATAGAACATCATTAATGTTTTATTAGTGTATTTTTCCTCAGAGTAAAGAGAATAAAGGTATGGAAAAAACAGTCAAAATGTTTTGTGTCCTAAATAAACATGCACCTCCAACTGGGCCCCTTCCAATCCTTAAGTTACTGAATTAGTCTTTTAAAAACTTTATTATGAAAACAGCTACCAATTCAATTTTAAAAATAGCTGTCAGCTCATCAAATTGTATTTTAAAATAGAAGGCAGTAGGAATCACCTAGTTCACAGTTTTATCACAAACCAATAAAATAAAATAAGTCCAAGGCAACATCCTAGTGGGGGGGGGCATTGTTTTCTCAACTATCAACTCTTTCCATTCCTTCTTCCATGAGACAGAGATTGTCTCATAGGATTTCATATGGAGTCTCATTAACAATAATTTGCCTTTTTATTTCAGAATGAAGTAGTTAGGAAAACATTTTGTCCCTCACATCTTTTCCATATTAATAAATATTACCTGCAGGACCACAAGACACAGTGAAGACAAAGACCATAAAAATGCAAAGTATCTTCATTGTTGATAGATTCACTTGACTGGAGTTGGGAAAGAGCTCAAAATGTCTTTGGTAACAGAAAGATAGACTCTGGTTTTTATAGCCTTTTCAGAATGATTGCAATTCTGATAAATGCTGTCTTTCCAGATTGAGCACATATTTATGTAAGCATTGTGAAATAGAAAATAAATATAATTGAGGACTTAGTTCCATTATGATCTCAATGAACCAAGCATGAACTCATTTTCAGTTGTTCCAGCAAACAATGGGCTGAAAGTATTCTTAGTTACTAATTAATTGAAAGTACACTCAATATCATTCACATTTTCAGCAATGATTTATTAAGTGTTTATTTTGTGCCAGGCTCTGTTCTAATCACATTAAATGGATTAACTAGTTTATCCTCTTAATGGATTCTATAACATAGGAGGGCCATGTAGTCATTCATGTCCACAACAGAATAGTGGGTTTCCATTGTGTGAAGTTATTTTTTGCACACATAGTTTAGGCCACATACTGTTTCTGATAGATTCATTTTTGTATAAATGAAAAAAAAACTGTATAACACAGTTCTTGTACTGTTACATTAAAAATTATCATTGTCATCCTAAAATAATAATTACTATCTGGGGTATTACTTTGTAGTACTGCTTGGGACACCTGCATCCTGTATCAAAGTTCATTTGAATTCTGACTATTGGACCTCTGACTCAGAAAGCTGGGGAGGCAGCAGAACGTAGCCCAAGTGCTTCCATTCCTGCCATCCACATCAGAGACCAAGATAAAGTCAGACTCTTGCCTCAGCTTGAGCCATTTCCAGCAGTTGTGACATTTAGGAAGTGAACCAATGGATAGAAGATATCTTTTTCTGTCTCTGTCTTTTCAGGTTTCTATGTCACTCTACTTTTAAAATTAATTAATAAATTATTTTTTAAAAAAGGCAATAATTACTATCAATTTTTACATACCATATAATCATCCATGAGATTATATCACTCATAGTGGAAAAGCAGCATATTTAGAGTCTAAAATGTAATGAATTTAGATAGAGAGAATAAATCTTGGTCTCTGAAACAAAGAAACTTAAGTAATTTCCACAAAATCAATCAGTTTTTTGATAAATGGTGAAATAAGAATTAAACTTACTACATTGTCAGGGCCCTCATTCTTAATCTTTAGAACCACATACCAAAGTTCCTGGAATAGCTGTCTTATAGTTCAAAGGAAATGTCTATTTTAATAGAAACATGGTTTCCACGATAAAAGGAATATTATAACTCATATGTCCTCATTTTTTTTATTTGTCTGTTTTACAGCTAAGGGACATGTCAGAAAACATAATCTTTCAGAAACCAGTGCTGGGAGTTTATATGTTTAAGGAGAACTGGAGAAAACTTGGACCATAATAGTTCCTCATTTTTCCATTCATCCTAAGACAATTTATTTATTTGAAGGAGAGAGAGAGAGATTTTCCATCCATTTGTTCACTCCCCAAATGGCTGCAATTGCCACCAGGATAGAACCAGCCTGAAGCCGGGAGATTAGAGCTCCATCTGGGTCTCCCACGTGAATGACAGGGTCCCAAGTACTTGGGACATCACCTGCTGCTGTCCTAAGGCACATTAACAGGGAAGCGAATCAGAAGCACAGCAGCTAGGGCACCAATCAGCACTCCAATATGGAATGTCCGTATTGTATATGGCAGCTTTAATTTGATCTCCCACAACATTGCCTTGTGACAACAAAGATCTTTTCTAATCCAGCCTGTGTTTTCCTTGACATTCCAAGAAACACAGGAAACAATTGCATATTACATATTCTCAGTGAGGATAAGTGAAAAAAAATTCTCAGGAAGAACTATGACAAGACTGGGTATTCTTTCAAAAGCAATGATACAAAAACTAAATTTTAAAGAAAATTTAGAGCTAACCACTATGATGTACAGTCTATGGAAACATCAGTTATCCAACAGTGCTAATATAGTCAACATTTGCTGTTTAATCCGTAGTGATAATAATAAAATCTCACTACAACAGACACATTTATCAACATTATTCCATTCCAGTAATTACTTCTTATCATGTGTAATATGTCTACTTCCTGTGCTTTCAAAAAGGCTTTTTTTTTTTTTTTGACAGGCAGAGTGGACAGTGAGAGAGAGAGACAGAGAGAAAGGTCTTCCTTTTGCCATTGGTTCACCCTCCAATGGCCACCGCGGCCAGCGCGCTTTGGCCGGTGCACAGCGCCTATCCGAAGGCAGGAGCCAGGTGCTTCTTCTGGTCTCCCATGGGGTGCAGGGCCCAAGGACTTGGGCCATCCTCCACTGTACTCCCGGGCCACAGCAGAAAGCTGGCCTGGAAGAGGGGCAACCGGGACAGAATCCGGTGCCCCGACCGGGACTAGAACCCGGTGTGCCGGCGCCGCAAGGCGGAGGATTAGCCTACTGAGCCATGGTGCCTGCCAAAAAGGCTTTTAAACTATAGATTTGGGGATGAAAATGAAGACTGAGTGATGGGAATAGGAGGGGAGCATAAAGGGAGAGACTTTGAAACACACAGATTAATATATGGTTCAATAGAATATAAAAGAAAGCTGTAGGCAAGGCACACTAGCTTTAACGTTTTATATGGCAGTTTTAAAATATCAATCTGAAACTCTATCTAGTAACCACTGCTTTGTAGGTACTTAGTAATGCTTATTTAATAAAAAAAAAATTGTATACACTGCTACTTGTACTTCGTAAAATTTGTGTAACAGCCTCAAGTTGGTGGTTTGAGGGGAGACGATATTTTGTAACTGTCAAAATAGATTTATCGGTCTGCACCCTAATGTATATTGCAGCTCAATTCACAATAGCCAAGACCTGGAAACAACCTAAATGCCCATCAATGGTAGACTGGATAAAGAAATTATGGGATATGTACTCTTTAGAATACTATACAGCAGTAAGAAACAACGAAATCCAGTCATTTGCAACAACATGGAGGACTCTGGAACACATCATGCTGAGTGAAATAAGCCAGTCCCAAAGGGACAAATACCATATGTTCTCCCTGATCGGTGACAACTGACTGAACACCAAAAAGGAAACCTGTTGAAGTGAAATGCACACTATGAGAAACGGTGACTTGATCGGCATAGCCCTGACTGTTAATGAACAACTTAATACATTATCCCTCTTAGTAGTTTTTTTGTCTGTTCTACTTAATATGACTGATTTAATTCTGTAATTAATACACAGTTATTCTTAAGTGTTGAAAATTAACTGAAATGTGATCCCTGTTAAACATAAGAGTGGGAATAAGAGAGGGAAGAGATTTACAATTTGGGACATGCTCAAGCTGACTTGCCCCAAACGGTAGAGTTAGAAACATACCAGGGGACTCCAATTTAATCCCATCAAGGTGGCATGTACCAATGCCATCTCACCAGTCCAAGTGATCAATTTCAGTTCACAATTGATCATAATGAAAGGACTAAGAGTCAAAGGGAGCACATAAACAAGTCTAATACCTGCTAATACTAACTGATAGAATAAATAAAGGGGAGAGTGATCCAACATGGGAAGCAAGATACTCAGTAGACTCATAGAATGGCCTCAGAATCAGCCCTAAAGGCATTCCGATCTGGCTGAAAAGCCCATGAGAGTATTTCAGGCATGGAAAGCCAAGACACTCTGGCAAAAAAAAAAAAAAAAACAACAACAACAACAAAAAAAAAAAAAAAAAAAAAACCTAAATGAAATATCTCTGTGAGTGAGATCCCAGTGGAAAGAACAGGTCTTCAAAGAAGGAGGTACCTTTCTCTGAAGGGAGGAGAGAACCTCCACTTTGACTATGACCTTGTCTAAACAAAATAAGAGTCGGAGAACTCAAGGGGCTTCCATAGCCTTGGAAACTCATGACTGGAGCATAGGGAGATTACTGATGCCATAAACAGGAGTGTCAATTGGTAAAGTCAACAACAGGAGTCACTGTGCACTTACTCCTCATGTAGGATCTCTGTCCTTAATGTGCTGTACATTGAGACTTAATGCTATGATGAGTACTCAAACAGTATATTTCACTTTGTGTTTCTATGGGGGTGCAAACTGTTGAAATCTTTACTTTTTGTATACTAAACTGATCTTCTGTAAAAAAAAGAAGAAGAAATTATCAATTCCAACTTGACTCTCACTGGGATTAAACATGACAATAGGTCTGATCTGATTTCATCATCATTTAAAAAATCATCTATTATTTGTCACTTTATGTTTCTGTGTGGGAGCAAACTGTTGAAATCTTTACTTAATGTATGCTAAACTGATCTTCTGTATATAAAGAGAATCAAAAATGAATCCTCATGTGAATGGAAGGGGAGAGGGAGTAGGAAAGGGGAGGGATGCGGGTGGGAGAGACAATATGGGGGGGAAGCCATTGTAATCCATAAATCGTACTTTGGAAATTTATATTAATTAAATAAAAGTTAAAAAAAATAAAAAAAATAGATTTATCACTTTCTGGTATTATGTACTCAGTGAATAATCTCAGACAAAGTAAATCATGTGATAATTATAGTTTAAAATTTTCATTTTGCACACAGAGTAATGATTATGTACTATGATACTTATTGGCCTCTTCTTACATATGATTGACTTTTTTTTTCAGGCAGAGTTACACAGTGAGAGAGAGACAGAGAGAAAGGTCTTCCTTCCATTGGTTCACCCCCCAAATTGTCGCCATGGCCGGCATGCTGCGCAGATCTGAAGCCAAGAGGCAGGTGCTTCTCCTGGTCTCCCATGCGGGTGCATCGCCCAAGCACTTGGGCCATCCTCCACTGCACTCCCGGGCCACAGCAGAGAGCTGGACTGGAAGAGGAGCAATCGGGACAGAATCCGGCGCCCCAACCAGGACTAGAACCCGGGGTGCCGGCGCCACAGGCGGAGGATTAGCCAATTGAGCCACGGCGCTGGCCCTGATTGACTTTTAAAGTTAGAATTATGATAATAATTAAATAGCCAATTCATATATGTTACTTATGATCCAATGCTGTGTCAATTTAATTTTTAAAAA